TTACATTTAGGATAGCAATAGCCTACTTTGTAAAGATGTTTGATGTAATGATGATGAATAATATTCAATAAATGTCTCACATCTAATGCCCTTAGCCAACTTAAAAAAATAAAAAACAAAAAAAAAAAAATTTTAAAATATAAATTTTAATAATTTATAAAAAAATTTTATATTTATATATTAAAAAAATTTTATTAATTTTTTATAATAAATTTAATAATAAATTTAATTAATTTTTTATATTTTTAAAAATACAAATATAAAAAAATATTAAAAAAATATAACTAATATAAAAAAATATTAAACTTAAATTTTTTATTTTTTATTATATATTAAAATTTTATTTAAAAAAATGGGTTAATTAAAATAAATTAATTAATACCAAAACTTCTAACTAAATTGTTTTAATATAATTTTGACATTAGTTCATACTTAAATTGATTATAAATTTATATAAGTAAATTATAATCCATATATTAAATTTATTATAAATTAGTATTATTTTAATATTAATTTAATATCTGTTTAATATTTTTTCAAAATTTTAATTAATAAAATATTAATTTTATAATTTTTATAGAATTAATATATAATTATAATATTAAAAATAAAAATTGATAATTTTTTTAATTAAATTAATATTAATCAAAATCAAAATTATTAGTATTTTAAAATAACAAAAATATTTTTTTAATATTAATTTTTATTCAATTTAAGTATTAAAAAAATAATAAATCAAAAACTTTATTAATTATTTAATATAAAAATATGAAAAGATTTTATAATTTTATAAAATTATAAATTAAACATAAAATAATTTTTTAAATTTTTAAATTTTTTAGTTTTGTATAAAAATATATTATAAATAATTAATATACTATTATTTTTATAAATATATTTTTTAAAAATGACAAATAAAGTTTTTAACTATACAGTATATGAATATTTTAATATAATAATAATTTTAAATATTTAAAATATTAATTAAAAATTGTAACATATAATTTAATTAACTTATAACATTAAAATTTAAATCAAATTATTAATTTTTTATAAATATACTATAAAAATAAATTATATCTTTTAATTAAAATTTTATATGTATGAATTTATAAGAATAAATTCTCAACAATTAATTATAAAAACTATAATAAGATATTTTTGATTAATAAAAACAAATTTTTTAAAAAATCAAATTTAATAAAAAATTTTTCTATTTATTTAATGTATTTTATTGTTATGTCAATAGAATATATGAAATACTTATTAAAGAAAATACAATGTACATGTATATTATTATTTTGTTTATTAAAATTACTTTTAAAATATATGCATGTATTTGTATAAGAAAAAACAATTATTCAATCAATCATCTTTAATATTCAAGAAATATTTCAACTATCAAATAATAACAATTTTTTTTCTTTAATTATCTTCAACGATTGTTTTATAATTTTATAATATAAAAATATTTATTAAATTCATTTTTTATTAAATAATTTTAAAACAATGAATTGATTATTCTTTATGTGATTATTTCTTGAACTTGCATACAAAGCAAATTTAGCTTGATTCGATCTATTGCATTATAATAGAATGTATAAATATAAAAAGAATTGATTTCATTAGCTGATAATTTACCGGATAAAAGTATATTTCTGTTGGATAAAAATTATCACGTAATAAACCAATTAGGAATTTTACTTTAAAAATACGTCAAGGTAGGAGATTCAAATCAAACAAAAATGATCCTGTTTTGTTTTCTGTTACGAATTCAGTTGTAAGAAAATGAAACATGTGTTCCAACTGTTTCGACATATGGGATGACAGCTCTAAAGTGCATTCTTCCAACGGGCGCCAAGAATGCTGCGGTACGTTTCACAAATGGTTGCAGACAATCAATATATATGAATTCGTATGTACGCACACGTATCATTCTTATTTGCGTACAAACGTCTCGTTTCCTTGAAGATTGAATAATCGATATCTATTTCATGATATGTGATGGATCGTCTAATTAGTAAAAAACTGGATAAAGATTTTTCTCGACATGAAGATTATGATAACATAAAACAAATTTGTTCTGGGTCAAGTGGAACCATTTCTAAGGCGATACACAGGAAAATTAAAAAAACAGTCATACTTAAGCAAGTTAGCTTAAACGAAGAATTTAATCTAGTGGATCTTTTGGATTCTGTAAGCTCTCCTATGATCGCATAAGT